TACCTTGCCACCCACCAACTAAATGTGCAACTAATAATTTTATTAGGACATTGGCCTTAATTTTTAGTTACCCCAATACAAACGACTTCTTACTATAATTACGCTTGAATACACTTATAGAAACGGCATGTCAAGGTGAAAAACTGCATAATTTTTCTGTGGAATAAAGCAACAAAAAAATAGGAAACATTTTTTATGTGAAAAAATGATTTCTCTAAAAATTTTCGTCACCTTTTGGCAGTATTTTCGAATGTAGAAACGTAGTTCAAATAATGGAAATACTATTATTAATTATGATTATTAGATTATTAATTTGGCTACTTGTGCAACAACTTTTTACCACTTGGTGAAAGTTGTGTGGTGCAAGTTTAATTGTAGATCATGCCGCTGCTTCCAAAAATTATAACTTTCCAATGTTGTTCCGCATTTCTAATAGCACGTCCTAAGGGTGATTATAATTCTACCATTGAAAAGCGAATCTCAAATTACAAATATCTATTAAGTATAATCCTTTGAGTGAAGTGTTTCACTAGGGCTGTTCTTGTTCTGTGAAAAGTATAAATTTTATTACCTGTATTTATGTATTAGTTTTACATACATATATGGAGGTACTTCACATTTTTCAAATTGTGAGCACTATAAATTAAGAACGAGTTTATGGTTAACTTGTAAAAGAACGTTGTCTTGTGTTGAACGTTGTTTCTGATTACTTAGCGATGAGATTCGTCAAGCTGTTTCTGCGCTGCTAAAGACGTCTTCCGACAATGTGATTTAGTTGGTTGTTTTCATTCAATTCGAATTATTGCTTACATTATTATTGTTTCGCGTTCAGTAGCAGTTAAACGTTCAAAGAATAATTTAGCCAAGTCATCATCTTGGTACTCTAATATATTCTTATCATAGAAGAGTTCAAAATAATTGATTTTAATTCTCGTCATTACTTTTAGATAAATAATTTTGAAACAATTGTCATGTGCACTGAAGCTCAATTACCGGTTATTTGGGGATTCTGAGTTTATACATATAGAACTTCTGTAGAACTTCGGCAAATTTCCAAATAATAGCTCTAAGTAGTAAATTGTTCGACTTTGTTTTACATTAAAAATTCCTTATCTGACCAGTTGCGAGATAATATTGTTTGCCTATGCTGATGTAGTTTTATTACACTTTTATGATAAATAACATGAAACTTAACAAGTAGAAAGCGTGGTGCTCTAAATGTTACATAAAAAATTAATTAAAACGTTGACATTCGAGATAATTACACAAATCTAAAAGAATTATTTTTTTCCAGTTAGAACATACCCACAATGATCTGAGTTTTAAGAGCTCAATGAAGCAACAAGGATGGTTATTATATCATGTGATGGAGGTTTTTAGTGTATTATAATTTAAAATAATTTTATTTATTAGTTTAAATGTAAATATTGTATTATAGAGAATTAGCACTATTTACATTAAATAGGGCAAGCAAAAAGTTAATCATGTAAAGTGCAGAACTCTAGCCTTATTTGTTGCATTGCTTGAATAGTGGATTCAAGCAATCCGACGAAAAAGTAGGACGCCTTAGCGAAGTTATTGCAAAAGCCATAAGCTTCTTTTGAGAGCTTAAATTGGATATTAAATTATTTTCTTTTATCTTGTTTGAAAATGAAACAATTCCTACACTAGGTGATTCATTAGATCTACAGTGAGGTTTAAGTCTTCTGTAAACTGGTATGGCATAAAGACGTATAGCTAGACTGCCTTATACTTATTTACTCAATAGGTATGTACATCAAAAATGCATTTGCCAAAAGTACATCGGTTTTCTAGTTGAATCTCAGTTCAACTTTGATATATTACCTTCCGTAAGTCATCTAGCACATTTATTCAAATATGTGGGATTTTAATGCTTGCTATTTATTGATATTGCTTTGTTACAGCTTGTGTACTCAGACTACATTTTACCACCACAATTGAATATTCGTGTAAATAATTTTATGTATCTATTATTTAAAATATTTTTTTATCTAAGCAAACTTTCAAGATCTTTGCGAGATCTAAGAAAAACTTTGAACTTAAGCACAGTATATACATTTTTTTAACCACTATTATATTGTTGATTAATATCTGAAGAACAAATTTTTTTATTGCGGTCGAATAACTGGTAAACTGAAGCTAATAGATTTTCGATTTTGAAATATCTTGCTTGATTTAAAACACTTGCTCTTAGTTATACTTACACGATCCAGTCATTTTACCAAATAGCCAGCATTAAATCCAAAGAAACCTTCCTTTGTACTATGAACTATGTAAGTCCTAGTCAAATTATAATTATATTTTAGTTTTTATTGCTAGTTGATAGTTGGCTCAGATGTTGATTTATTTGTGTCTTAAGAATGACAAGGTCTTAGGTCTCAAAAAATTCAGATGATGAAAACATAGCTTTAAAAAATAATTGTATACAAGGTATTTCGCACTGTTGAAAAATTCATTTTATTTAGTGAGTGCTACTATTTTATTTTAAATTTGTAAGACAAAATTGCTCTTGTAGCATTGTTCAATTTGCGTAAGCAACAATAAGTTGGTTTAAATCTGCGACTAAAATACTTCATCTAATGTGGGAATTGCAAACTCACTCGACATCAGGACATTTATATAAGGGAAAACAGTCAGATATTACTGTTCACTAGTACGAATTTATTGGCATAATACTTGTGGTATTCTCAGGTGGGAGAATCAGCGTTATTTTTATTATTTTTTCAGTTCATTGTACGAGGTCTACCTTGAGGCATGCGAAAGAATTCCAATTATAGTCGCGCGCAGTCTTAAAATTAACGATTTTCTATCCTGCACATTGCAAGTGTTAGGTCAGTAAAATAGCTGATGAAAAGCACCTTTAAGGGACCTTTTTGGCAACCTTTCTTAACGTTATCGAAACGTGTGAAAAAGTAATTAGGTATCAAACATTTTGAAGTATTTATTCTTTTGAATTGAATTGAATTGTTGCATACACATATGTTTTCCTCGGCTGTTTTACAATTTTCCAATTCGATAATTAGATGTTGTTTATTCGACCTTATATCAAACTATAGTGCAATTTCGTCTTACAGACACTTTTTATGCTGCATTACAGATATGATATTTATGGTTTGATTGATTTGACTAAACTCACTGTTCAATAAAAAGTTCGAAACATTAACTTTTTAATATTCAAATAAATCTTATCTTCTGACTTTTTCCCGGATATTTGTCTTTCTAGAATTATTTTTGATTGCAACATTTTTTTTATTTAACAATCTGTAGTTTGAAACAGATTAAAAAAAATCACTTCCTATTATGCCTTCTTGAAACCACAGTACAGTATCTCAGACCACTACAGTTGATAAGAGTATTCTCGGAAAGTGTCAATTAAACCTTAATCGGTATTTGGATAATGAAAGATGTTTTGAACTTGAGAAATCTAACGGCATTCAATCACTTTCTTTGAATTAAATATGTTTGACTGATGTGTATTGAAAAATTTCAAGGACCCGAACCTAAATTGTTACAATATCGAAATAGGTACAAACAATTACAGTTCAATTATCTCCAGTTTTACGCAATTTTTATTTCTTTTGAAAGGATGGCGTTACTAGATAATTAATCATAAACTACTCGAGAGTTCAAAATACTCTTTCTTTGAATGATAAATCGCTCATATATGAAAGGAGATTCATTCGCAATCGAATATCCGAAAATACAATGCCTAGTCAAAACTGAAAAAAAAAGTGGAGCCATCACTTAGCGCGGTGTATTAGTATTTTTGTCTCCAGCCGTTAATAAACCGTCTGGTTCATTATAAGGCTTAAAATAAAAATTGCAACTTTCTGACGTCAATTAGAATTACGTTTTATGTTCAGGTTTTTACCGGTTGGCTTTGGGACTGACTTGTTTTTGGTTCGTTCTAGTGCATATTGGGAAGTGGCTTCTTAAATCAGTTTTGCCTTAAAATGCTAGTTTGTAACATAACGTCAAAACTATATTTAACTTTGTATTTACCAAAAACTTAAAATTTATTTATGAAATTCTATTAATATATTGAAAGGTATTATTGATTGCCATGGTGGGATATGTACTTTATGGAATGATTAAACCGAAACGTATAAAAGTTGCTATTAGAATCATTAGGCGATTAGATATAATAGGCCACCTTATGTTTATTGTATAAAATAATTCGAGTCAACCGTCTGTATGTAAAGATTGATAATATAACTTCTCTGTGTTTAATATATATGTAGATGCCTTTCTTTAAGATCTTAAGTCATCCAAGTATCAAGAAATTGTCATTGTGTGTTATTTATTTAGTCGTCATTTCATCTTAAGCGGAATAGTTTTCTTTTACCCTTGCTGATTGTTTAGCTGAGTAGTAGCACTACATATCGTTCATATGAATTGTATAAGGCTAAAATGTGGATATAGGCTACCTTTGTGTCGTAATTTTGATCTTTTTTTATTTAATCATAAAATAATATCACGTCACCGTTATCAGCAAATCATATATTGCCTGATCAAATTAACGACATTAACGTAGCAACTTAGTGATTTAAAACATACGTTTTTAAGTTAATTAAGTAAGGTGACGTATGGTTTCCCAAAACGGTTGAAAACTATCATATTTTATCATGTTTCGGAAAACAAAACGATTTATTTCATAGGTTTTTTAGATTGGTGGCTAGTAAACATACTGAGTGTATTATTTATTAATTAGTCAAGCTGCAAATATTATTATAGTCCGTATTTATAGAGTGCATTATCTGGAAATATGTAATTATGGTTTGTTTTTGTGCGTTATGTCCATGCGGTGGTATAATATTATAACATGTTAGACACTTTTTTGCTCAATTCATTTCTTTATTTCATTGTTATTATTTACCTAATCCACTAGTAAAATAGCGAAATGCAGTTATAATAATTGTGATAAATTTCAATAAAGTGATTGGTGTAAATGTAATCTGTCCGTTAATTGCATTTTCCCTACTTTAGATATCGCACTTTTATTGCATCGCAGTATCATAATCACACGTAAGATATTAATGATTTGTCATTCTGGTGCAACTCTGAGGAATGTCGAAAGAGGCGTATGGGATTAATTAGAAATAATCCATCGACGACTCGATTGTTAGGTCGTGCATAGTTTCGCTAAACATGGTCAGTTCTTACGACGCCAACATCATTATTCGCATTCTTCAGTGCTTCATCTGCATTAAAATCAGCAGCCTACATTTGCATTAGATGCTGGAGACTTGGATACAAGACGACCGAATGGTAAAACCTCTAATTGTGAAAGGACATTTTTTGAATTCATCTGTAAAAGTTACTATGTTCTATTTGATTAACTGCATATTTATTGAAACTGTGAAAAAAACTTCATTGTGAAAAAGGATTTGGTCCTGATGTTTCTCAGTCACCTTGTATTTTCAGAGATGACTGTTTGTCCAAGCCAAACACCTATGAAGATGCAAGCCACTCGTGCATACAAAACACAAAATTATGTTCCACGACGACCCAAAAGCCCGAAAAATATTCACCAATTTCAGGCAATTCAAACCGCGTATATTTAAAAATATACCAAAACTGGCAAGAACTTATCAGCCGCAGAATCAGAGTTGCAACTTTCATCCAGTACAAGTTTATTGCCATTTTTAAACAATTATATACAGGGTGTCACAAAAGTAATGGCACAAAACTAAATGGTGGATTCCTGAGGTGAAAATATGATGATCTAACACAACTTACCTTAGTCCGAAAGTTGACGGTTGCTGACATACAGGACGTCAACACCCCCTGTGTACCAAATTTCGTGAAAATATGCAGCTCCGTTCAAAGTAGAATAATAAAAAACTGAAATTAAAATGTAACTTTGACGCCCTGTATGTCGGTAACCGTCAACTTTTGGATTAAGGTAAGTTGTGTTAAATCATCATATTTTCACCCCAGGAATCCGCCATTTTGTTTTGTGTCATTACTTTTGGGACACCCTGTATGTACCTATATCATGCTTATGCGGAGGAAGGCAAGTTAATAACTTACTTCGTGACTAAAGATCCCTGTAAACATTAGGCTGCAAATGCTTCTATGGCTATTTAGAACATGCTAAGAATTCAAAATTTCGTCCATTTTTATCATATCTGCAATAAAAGTAGTTTTTGCAACCGTTAGCGAAAGCAACATTTAAAGATATTTCTAGCCAAGCCTAGAAGGTATTTTTTAAACCGAGGAAAAGGTGATTATGAGAATTGAAACACATTTTATCGATATTAGCAATTAATGGATATTCACCACTTTTCACGTTAGTTCACAAGTTTCTCTCGATTTAACTACACAGAATGAACTGCTTTTGTTTTCAATAAAGAATTTTTTGCTGTTATCAATTTCCACATTATGTGTTGTTTATTCTTTTTTTTTGTTGCTTTTGTTTTAAGTTTTGAGTAAGTTTTGTTATTTTATCTGCCTATCCCGTATATTTTTTAAGGGGTTTGAGGTTTGTATTGCTTAAGCCATTGTTTGAGGCATTTTCTTGTGCTGTTGATGAAACTGCGGATTTTGTGAGTGGATTTTGCAACATCTCCGCAAAAAATGCCGAAAACAACGTTCTAAAAGGTAAGTGGCTGAATTTTATTTAAATGTTACCTGCATTTATCACTGTTAAACATATTTTGTATGTACGTACTGTTACTATACTTTTCAAATCTGCCCTAGTTGTTTTCTGCATAGTATACTATTAAGTACCTTGCTTAAGGCGTGTGTTAAATGTGCATTTAAATGTCGGCTACTGACGACATTTAAACGCACATTCTTAAGTGAAATAAATCGGAACACTTTTTAACAGTAGGTACTTTCATATGTACATGTTGGGAGAATAAGAGTAACAATAAAATATTTGAATTGAACTCAAATAAATACTCGTTATTCATTTCTTTATTTCACGTTTTCAATGTCGGTATATACTGAAAAATATCAAAACTTTATTTTCTTTACTAGAAATGGTTGGCCTTTGGCGCACACTTTTGCGTAAAATCAATGGATATTCGTTGTCAAAGCGAAGATTATTCTGATTTGCCAGAAACAAAATAAAATATGTGTTTTTCGTCTTGATAGTATTCATACCACCAATCAGTCATAAACTTTATTTTTGCATACATTCGAGTTTTATCGCACGTTGCCCAGTTATCGAGATATCACGTTTTTCTCGTGAGGAAATCAATAATATCTAGTAATAAAAGAGCAAATGTTCAATTATTGGCCAGTTTTCCTTTAGCAAAACCAGGCTTTTTCCACCTCAAATTCGAATCATTTTGTATACATTTTTAAAGAGAAAACAACGCTATAAAGACGTATTTTCATGTTGTTAAAGTTACGTTACCTGTTTTAATATTTATATAACATTAATTCTAAATTATCCGGAATCTGGACATCTTTGGGTCAAACCGAGAGTGTGCTGCTATTCATAAATAGAGCGAACACTCCATGGTTTCGTTCATACAATTGAAAATCAATCCAAATTGTGTCTGCCCGTCTGGCAATCTATTAAAGACGTTTTTTCTCTCTCGAAAGATTAGTTATCTTTAGATTTGGAACCGAAAAGATGAAAAGCAAACATAACGTCCAAATCCAAATTGATTTTCTATTGGTTTGAGTTTACTTTCCAGCTTTTTGGTGGGAAACGAAGCGAAATCCTGCACTCTAATTTAAAACGCTCAGGTGGGTAGTAAAATTGTATTTTTAGATTAAAGGCGATCCTGTAGATAAAGCATTTTGGCAGGAATTAACAGTGAGTGGAAAATATTGTGTTTGAATATCAACATTGGTCTAAATTGATAGTGGACTAAATTAAAATGTTTGTTAACAAATCTCAGGATCCGAATTCATCTTTCTTCAAAACGAGTGCCAGATTTATTACAAGTTACGAAAACTGAATTAAAAAATATACCATCTAGATATTTTTGCCACTACAATGGATGCAAAACAACCCTGATTGGGAATAAAAATTATTTAATAATGCAGGTTTTATTAGAAAAAAAATACGAGAAGAGATAGAAAGACTTTAAGACTCACGCGCAGAAAATATTTTCTGTTCTGATTGCGGGTTTAGGAGTGTATTTATGCTCTCTTTATTTCCTAAAACTGGCAATTCTTTCGGCTTTCTATTTAGGTCTTTGCCAAGTCTATTTTTGATGCTGATGAAGATTTGGTTAAATATGGTTTAAGTACGAAAAAGTCGTTTGAGAATTTTTAATGCGGTTACACCAGTAGGTACATTGAAGAACCAGCTAGTTTCACTTACCGTATTTTCCGAACCTTAAGAAGCACTTTTTCTATAGAAAAAATGGACTCAAATTTTAGGTGCTGGACGCAGCACCTAAAATGGTCTGAAGGTAACATTAAAATATACTTTTTCACTAAATCTTTGTGAATAAATTTACGTACGTTTGCCTGCCACTGTGTTTCGTATGACGCAAATAATCTCAAGACAAGGGGAAAATCTCCGATTTATCTACAATATTTTTTTTCATACGGTGGTCGGTTACTTAAACGAAATTTTATCAATTATGAAAGACATTATGACCCACCTTCAACGGAGAAAACGGGTGCAAATGGTAAAACAAAATAAACAATTAAAAGTAAAGACAAGAAAAAAATCTGAAAAATGGCTAGAACTAGAAGCACCTACATGTGAAAAATTGGGTAACGAACAAGCATGGGTGTATCTATTTCTAGGCAAATGGTAATTTTTGAAGCGAAAAGCTATTGGAATTTAAAATTTTACCGGTTCACCGCTTTAGAGCTTTAGATTTATGAGCACTTGAGTTATGTATGCGTACAAAAACCACATTAGCCAATAAAATGCTGGCTGAATTACAAATATTAAATAATAGAATTCCTTAGATTAACAGTAACAGCAATGGGGAAATATGGATGAGGTAACTTTTGATGTTACATCAAATCGGACTGTAGATCCAAAGGCACCAAATCCATAGCAATCAAAACACGTCACGAAAAAACTCACAATACTGAGTTTTAGCGTGGACGGAAAAATGCTATCTTCCATGGAAATGTCCAATAGGAAAATATCACCAAAAGTTGAAACTCCTAGTGGCATGCTTATTCATACTCAAAGATAAGGCTGGATAGATGAGATAAGAATTAAATTACATCTAGAAAAGATATGGGGAAAATGTTCAGTTGTATTGTTTAAAAAGCCCTTTATGTTAATGAAGAATCAATTCAGAACGCATACAACAGAATCAACCCGGAAATTTCTTACCAATCAATAAATACTGAAATAACAGCTCTCACAAGTCGATTACAACCCTTAGTCAATCATAGTAGAAGATTGAAATAAATGGATGGGCAAGATCTATGAGCGTTTGAAAGGAGTGACAACGATAGTTCAGTCTAAAGTGATACGAATTGTGGTGATATTAGCCATACGAGATGGTAATTATTAATAATGGTCAACATTGCTCTCCGGCGGATTGGAAGAGAAGGTTCAGTTCTCTGGCCTCCGAGGTCACCGGATCTGACTCCGCTCGACTTTTATTCTTGGTGATACACGAACCAGAAGTGAGCTAATACAAAATATTCTGATTGCAGTTGCATCCATATACACGATAGATAAAAGATACTCTTCAGAGAGCTACTTATTCAATTATTAGAAGAGTGAGACTGGGCTGGGAGGCAGCGCGGGAATTTTTAACCAAAACTTTAATCGTGTGTTAGTGAGAAAATATTAGGTTATTTTATTCAACATGTTCTTTACTTTGTTCTCCATGCTCCATTAAAATTAGTATTGGTTCTTAACAATTGTGTAACTTCTTAACAATTGAAATTTGCCGAGTTTTAATTAAGTTTCGACTTAAATGTGACTAAATAATCCGTTTTTAATATATGGCCATAGACTCACGGGACACTATGTATAATGTTTACTAAAAATCACAGCAATATGATGTATTAAAGAAATACATTTAAAATTACTTGGACTGAAACGTCCTTTAAGAAACACAAGACACCTTGTAGAACCTACATTGACTCTTGAGAATATAAAAAAAATTACTAACTTTTTACAAATTCTTTCAATTCCTACTCTTTTCAATACCTACTTACTGTTTTTTTACTGAAATAAATATGCAAATCATCAGAATTAATTATTTAATTGGCCATTCATACAAACCTATTACAAAAAAAACGGTATGACTATTAAAATGTTATTTATAAAATTTAATTTTAACGAGTATTTTCATTTCGATAACTATGGTTTACATAGTAAACCACAACTGTTGTTTAAAATGCATCAAAAAAATATCTACAAGAAATTATTATCTCAACAACACCACGCCTTACATAATTAGCAATAAAATTAAATAATTATTTAATTGATTTGAATATTTTCTGCAACATTGCCTGCTATTACATGACAGAAATGTTGATCTGTCAACAGGCTTAGCTTCTCTGGTGCCTATTCGGGAATGTCAAAATTTTGAATTTTGACCTTTCACTTTCAACAAGTCTTTTAGAAACTCAAAAATCACTCAAAACGAGTCTCAAATCAGGGTATTCAACAACTTTCCTTTCGCTTTAAACAATACAAATAATCCAGGTTGTGTAGTGAGTGTTAGCGGACTTCGGTGATCCAAAATCCAAAAAACCAGCATTAATCGTTCTTTTTGCGTTTCCGAATTCGCTTATTCAAGGTAAGTGTGTACAAAAATAATGATAAATGGAGACAAAAAATCGTGCGTGTGAATGGAAGTGACTATTTAAATCTGCAAAGTCGAATAGCTGTTAATTACTGAATAAGTAGAACTAGCGCGTTTTACCATGTATGAGTATATACTAGTAAATTCCTACCAATTTCAAGATTTAAACCAGAACAAGACGTGAACGCATGGAAAATATTACCAAAAAGATTTTTCGGCCGTCATATGACAAAATTTAATTTGTAGTTCAACTAATGTTTCAACTAGGTTTAATAATAATCAACTAGGTTTAATAATAATGCTCTGTAATTGGAAAATTCGAATAACTATTTTAACTACCCCAAACTACAGTTTACATTGAAATTGTTTTTTCCATTGTAAGACTATTTACGTAGCAAATCTGAAAGTACTATAATTTAAAAAAAATCTCGAGTTTCTGTATTGACAATAATAAGCACATAAAATACACAGAAAATTAACAAAATCGCGAGATTAAACGCCACCTTTTACCTAAAATAAATTGTCAAGTTCACTCTTGTGAATATGTGTATGTATTTTATTCGGTTACATTTGGATGGAATACGTTTACTTAATTATATGTAAATTACATGCTTCAACTTCAATTCAATAATTCAAACTTACTTGTTTTTAAGGTAACAAAGTTCATTTCAAATTTTCTCAGGAACCTCCCGTGATTGTAAGAAAGTGCGAGTGTCGGTATCTTATGATCATGGTCAATATGGGAATTTCATCGTGTTAATTTTCAACAAGATTCAGATCAACTGATGCAGACAGACATCACCAATCATTTTTTGTCCAGTGAAAGAAAGTCTGCTGAAATTGCGAAACTTTTAGAACATGTAAAATCTTTTTTAGCTAATTTTTCGCCCCATTTTAGAAGACTTTGCATGACGAATGGGGCCACTGGAGGGAATTATCTTTCGTTTTTCGAGTAAAGAGCTATACAAGTTTTTCCATCTTCATGAATAGTTTTTTTCATTTTTGCGATTCACATTAATCTTATTCTACAATGATAAAACATCTTGTCTCTTCTTCCAATTTTCGGACACGGATGTTTCAGGCAAACTTATTTCACGACAAATATCACTCTCTTGTCCCTATTTTATATGTGTTAAATAATTTCATACGTGTTCTTTAGTGTCAACGTTTTACGTTTTTGTTTTTCCATTGTGAATGAATAAGTATGTTCATAGCAGAATCTTCAAGGCTATTTTGCTACTGATTAATTTTGCATTCGAAGTTAAAAGCGGAGAACTATCGGAATTACCCGTTAAAACTGGCAAAAGTTCACCATAAACAGAAGTTGTATAACTTACGTGAGTAAATTGTCCACTTTATCGGGAAGTTTATTATAAGCTGGATCACCATAACTGGATCAAAAATGTATTAGTCTTATAGGAAAAATGTAGGGTACCCACCGTAGCGTTCACTTTAACCAGAAGTTCACTAAAATCGGGTCTATTATATCCGATCCCCGATGTATGCACATTACCATGAAATTCAAACATGATGCAAAACTATGATCACATGCTAAAAATGAATCTGTTTGTTTATCGAAAATATGGACATTACTGTAAAATAAGCCCTTTAATTAATTTTTGAATAAAGAAAAATGCTGTATAGAGCATAGAGGCTCTAAGTTCTAGTGAAATTAGTTAACCACTCTCCTGTAAGATGGAAGTTTTATTCATAGTGTATTTCTTTCAGTGAAAATCGTTGCAAAATGTTTACATACTTTGAAGTGGAGAAACAACAATTGAGTAGCATTTGTTGTATGTTTTTGAGGTATTATAAATGTGATTCCTTATTTACATATTGAAAGCGCGTTGTCTAATTGTTAATTTATTATTGTCGTTTAACTGAACAATAATAATTGGAAATTAGCTAGTTAGCGCAAATTCTAAAATCATCATCAAAATAATTGCCAGTTTGTTTGCAAATTTACGAGAATTCGAACCCACAATAATGAAGCATATTATAGTAATAAAGCACGAGTCATTTAATGCATTCTGCATATATTTTGAAGCAGCTAAATATTAAATTTGAACAGGCTGATAGGTTTAAACTTTGTAGACAAGAGAGATATTTTCCACATAACGATGCAGAACTGGCTCGATAATAATAACGTCCGAACAACAGGTGCCATCAGGTCGGATGGCCAACGCCAACCCACCGTGGATGAGAAAACTCTAAAAATAAACCCGACCGTGTGCTATAATTGCTCGACCCTGTCATCCAGAATTGGAATGCCAATGCAAGTGCTCGTCGGGAAATTATTAATTAATAAACTACAAAACTTCATTTGACAACCAACTAAACACGAGCTCATCCAGGAATATCGAAAATTGGCTCCAGTGCTTTAGCTCGGAGTAAACTTGAATGTAGGGCGGTTGTTTATACTAAGATATAACATATAAACAAAATAAACTGCTTTAAAATGAATTAAACTTACATCATCAAATAAAACACGATTCAACAATGGGTAATTTCTCATTTGGTCGATCGAGATAATAGATTTGCAATAATGTATAAAAGCAATTGAGTAATCAACTCGATAATAGAAAAATATGATGGCGAATACTTTAAATTATCAATAATTTGGCTCGTGCTGCAAGTGTTTAATGGGTAATACCGAGATATAATTCAGTATAATTTAGAAAATTGCCTGGAAATATTGGGTATTGAAACACTTGTTCGGATTTATGACTGCAATATCTTCACGCAAAGCGCGCTTGCATATTCAGTACATTTATTGACCATACATAAGCAGGAGACCCTATAAAGTACGAAACGAATCACGCGCAAAGTACCTCTTACTAACAATCCAAAGAGAATCACGCGCTACTTACTTGTAATGGAATGGTTCAGAGTGACCAACTGATCAATGGCTTGACCATAATAAAGAAAGTAATAAAAATAAACCAAACTTGATAATTTTTTGACCTAAATTCGAATTAGTTTTTGACTTAGCCAATATTCAAATAAGTCAAACTAGAAATGTGTTGGATTATATTTACGATATAGTTATGCATTTAATCAAATCTGTTAGGAAGCTGGACAAAACTTTCAAACTAGTCAAAACGGAAAGGAAATATTAGGGACTATCCAGGTCTTCGATTTCTTCTTTCTGTCAGTTGCAAGGGCGGATCCGGGGGGGTCATGTTTTGTCGATTTTGCAACTAAAAAAAAACCCTCAAATATAAAACTTCTTAAAATCAAAACTTTTTTGAGAAAACTGCCAACATTTCCTTATCGATGGTTCACTTTCTAAAAAGGCCATTTAGTTCTAGTTCTCTGTGGAATTATGTAAAAATAAGAGTTATTACAACAAAAGACTGCATTTCTACTACATCACCCCTCCCCTCTTGACTTGAGAGCTGGATCTGCCCCTGGTGGTACCCTGGTGAGTGGTGAGTTTTACGGTTTACATATTTTTGAACTTTTGAAGTCAAGACGCTTGAATTGTTCTAAGCTTTGGACTCCAGATAAAGAAGTCTGGGTTATTTGAATAAAGGGATTTATTAACAGTGATACGTCGTTTTCGAACAAATCGCTTTTGCTTTTTGACCACAAATTTTCAATGATTTAAGGTTGACTGGTTTCCTTGCAAATACTTTCTTTCACATATATTTTTCCTAGGCAGGATAAATCTATTAGCATGTTGTAAACGTTTGCTCTTCAGATTTATCTTTCAAATAACATTTATTTACACAATGTTTGGCAGGTGAAAAGCCAGTCGAACTGATGCCAAAGTTGCCCTGTCGTCTTATTATTTTTTGCTGTATTAGCAGCTTCTTGGTTTAAAAATACGAGAAAACGATTCCATTAAGATTAGCCTAGAAACGCTGAGTTTCGGAGATACGCCCATCTTAAAAAATCCGGAGCTTTCCTCCATTCTTCACATGAGAACACCTATAGGTATAAAGCACACATAAACTAACTGTCGAGTTATTCCCTAAATGGAAGTCGCACATCTAACTATCTATTGAGTATCATATATTCAAATGTTGTTCTAGAGTTATGGCTAAGATATTTCTTGCGTAATGTGAAGAAATGTGATAAAGCTGTACTTTGTAAATGGTATGTCAAAATTAGAATCTTTTATATTTTTATCAATTATATAAAAAATATTTTAATTTTTCCATGGGAATGCGACTTCTAAAGTTTAGTATTGAAGCACTCTAAACTTGACATACTTTTCTTTGTAGCCAATTCTGTTCCTTTTTAACCTTATTTAAATGTTTGCATCTAAATCTAAAAGCTTATTAGGACGATCTCATTAGGGCAATCGCTATGATGTCATGACAATATGCAAGAAAACAATTTAAGAAGGAAAATAAAAATACCTTGTTTCTAAACGAAAAATAAATCAATCAACTTGGGCGCTATGAAAGGAGGCTTAATAGAAATAACTGAGCCTCACATATTATGCAGGACGGCACGTTGGAATGTAATCCACGTTTGCGATACTCTGGATTTCAAACTATCTGCTTCCCAAAATACATTGTATCTGACATTCACGTGAAATTCGGACAAAATACAAATGAGCCGTGTTGGGTTCACTCAATTCCTAAGAAGCATTCTGCTGCTTTGCCAGAAGCAGCTATATTTTAGGCGAAATATGTTTCCATTTTTATGTATTTGTCTTTTTTCCTTTATCGTATTTTACCGTGGATGGCCGAGTATCAAACTCTTTCTTCTGCTTCCAACTTTTATTCACCTCGGTATAACTTTAACTACGGAACAGGAACAAACTAACTTCTAAATTAACGTCAACTTCACAAACAATAACAATAACAGGCGGAAAACTCGCTCTTCCGACTCACGGTGTTCAACCTCTTCTGCACCCGGTCGCTCATGTCACTTCACTGACTCCCCATGGTTCTCGTCGTCGCTTATATAGTTTCCTCCAGGTAACCCAGAAGGTTCTAAAAATCTCCAGCCCAGCTGCGAAATTTCCCGCTTGTCAGTGT